ATATATTTATATATATCGATAGTTAAGCTGAAGTGGGTATGAAAATAGGCTTGTTTGTGAGGAAATCTCATGAAATATACAGTATGACTCTATTGTCCACATTTTCATCACTATAGCTGAGGTAGCTATCAAAACAAATGCCAGTCAAACACAGAATAGGTCACCATACCTTTACAGGGTCAGGAGCGTGAGAGTTGGGGAGAAGAGAGTTCAGAGGAAGGAGGGGGGATTTATCGACAGAGGCAAGATGAAGAGATGAAATCCTGACTTCATTCTCCTTGGGAAAGTCAGCAACAGTCAGGCGAGAGGAGTCGGTGTTTCGCAGAGAAACAAGACATGAAAGATAGCATACATGCTCCAATGATACACCCATCTATTATTTGAGCAATGAATTAAACAAGAAAACAGTATTTGAATTTAAACATAGATTCTCTTCCAAATTTGAAACTGTACTTTTGAAACAAATGAGTTGGATATCAAAAGATGAATGAGACAAGATATCAGCATTTCAGCATTCATTTCTGGATCTGACACACAACTTAAAAGACTGCATTACTTGTACTCGGATCCCAAGCAAAGTTTTACAAAGTTAGTTAAATATGTCAGTTATTAAAAACAGATGTTATAAATATTTTGATGAAATTAATTTTGTGATAAAGGTTCAATAATAAGGTTGCATTAATACTGTCTGAGATTAACACCACCATCACTGATGGTGTAGTAGTACACTCGTCTGACTTTTGTTCGGGCAGCGTGGGATCAGTTCCCACTCAGTGACAGTGTGAATGTATGTGTGAATGGCTGTTTCTTTATGTGCCCTGCGACTGACTGATGTTGTCTGCCTTCCGCCCAAAGTCATCAGGGATAGGCTCCAGCAACCCCACAATGCTGTTTCGCGACAGCTTTTTGCAGCCACTTCTCTCATCGCACTCTTTTGCGTTCATACATAGTCTGTTCAGTGCGTGTGTACCACTATTCTGACCTTGAAGTCATTTGTAGAAGGTCTGGACACACAGGAAGGGGCTGGGGGGGGTGATAGCAGCTAACAAATGCTGTTTTGTTAACTGCGGTGGAGCGAGTGAAGAGAGCGAGTGGTGAATCAGATCAATAACATGTTATCAATGATTGTTTCACAGCTGTTACATTCAGCAGCACAAATAAATGCCCCACACACTTTCACACAACCCTGAGCCGCCACCGCAAACTTCTGCATCATCAGAATTGTGTGCTGTTTAAAACAATGCACAACAAAATTGGAATAAAAAATAAGAATACTTAAATTTTTATTCTCAAAAAATGTTATTTGAATTGAAATAACAAAAATGAAATGGATTTAATTTTTTTTTCCTTTTGCTAGTAAAAAATTAAACAGCAGAAATTTCCAAAGTTAAAAGTAATAATAAAAGACAGAATAACTACAATCAAAAGATGTGACGCTGATTGTCAAAGTGTGATACAAGCACACGAGTGGTCCATGCTGTGGTGGCAGACAGAAAAAAAAAAAAAACACCACCACCACAAAATTAAATGTTCAATCTGGACAATAGAACAGTGATCTTTAAACCTGAACAGTACATTTTTACACACAGTTCAGTTGTGTTTCACTTTTAAGTACAATTTTAAGTACAATTTTAGGCATTTTAGTCTTTTACAACTGTTTTATGGTCAAACATTTAGGTAAAATGTTTTTTCAACTTATGTTATAAAAAAAAAAAAAAAAACATTTAAGGAGAGTTCTTTTTTTAAGGTACTCAAGAGCAGTACAGTAATCCCTCATTTATTGTGGGGGTTACGTTCCAAAAAGAACCCATGATAAGTGAAATCCGTGAAGTAGGATTTATTTAAAAAAAGCAAAAAACTGTGAGAGGGATGACATTTCAAATGTCAAATGTGCTGTATGTTTCACATACAGCACATTTGACAATAAAGTTGTACTTGGTACTTGATAGTCAGCTTTATTTTTTACAGTTATACAATACTGAACTATGTTTACAATGCAGAGGCGATTGCTCTAAGACTGCAAGGGAAGCTCAGCTTCCCCTAAAATGTCAAAAAGTAAGTGATCAAATATATGCGTGAATGTACAATTTTGTGGACATGTCATTGACTAAATATGCACTACAACGCGCTCAACATTTGTTCCGAATCAGCTTCTTAGTACTGGTTACGACGCGACTCTCTTCTCATTCATTCCCGCAGCTTCACTGTGCTTTAAACTGTGTGGACGCTGAACGTCGACCGCGCGGACGCTGGGCGTCTAGAGAGTTCAGTGTAGGTTGTCCCAATGCATAGAATATCACAGAAACAAACACAGAAATGAGCCCTTTCTCATTCTCTACTCCGCTGGGCGCCATTTTAGCCATGCCCAAAAAAAATCAGGAAAGGTGAAATACCAGTAGTGAAAAACAGTTTAACACTTTATCGCCACAGCACATTTTCTGTTGTAACTTCTACTTTTGTCTAAGAAATCTTCTGCAAATCAAAACTGGTGATGCCTCCACTATGACCCTTGGTTCTTGTAGTTGTTTTAGGGTCTTGATGAAAAAAAGGCAGGACACTGGCCCTTGAGGACCGAGTTTGGACATCCCTGGTATACCCATTCGACATTTGTTAACACTTATGTTCATACCAGCTACATCTCTAAATGTAAATCTAGTCTGCAGAGGTCAAACCCAAATCCAAAACTAAGCATAGCCATTCAGCAGACGAGAATAATCAATATAACTGGAAACACCCGTCAGTGTTCCAAAACATTTGCTTGTATGTAACAATGGGTGGGTTCCATCAAACAAGTTGCTGTCTTTTAAGTTGGAGCATGTATCATACGCAGATAGAATTATCTGGAAATAAAAACTGAAATGTTGAGGTATTCATATTTTCATGTCCAAAAAAATATGTTTCCATTCAAGAGCAAAAACAAAGCGTTTGGCCTAACTATTCCCTTAATTTTGGAGGAGAGTACTTGTTCAACTCACTTGTAAGTTTTTCTTTGCTTTCTTCAGGACATCTCGTGTTCTTGATACTGTCAACAAACCACAGATTTGCATTACTTTTCCATTTAACAGACACCAGGTACTCGGCTCTCATCATGCATAAAAGATTCAAGCTGACTGAATACTGTAAATGTTTTTACACACACCAACCAAAATAGTCTTTATATTATATCTTGGTACAAAAATATGGTGCATTTTAAAATCTCTTGACTTACATTGATTGACTATAAATTGCTCCATGCTGTCTTTGGTTTGGTTGGAGGTCCTCACTCGCTCTATGGCATCCTTGAGCGCATCCTGTTGCTCTGACAGCTTCTGGCGAAGAGTTAGGACCTCTTCTGTCTGAGACTCATCCTACAACAAACATTGTCCAGTTCAGGCACAAAAGGTGATGTTTGTTTTTGTCATGAATCAAGATCTAAAAGCTACATAGAATTATGTAAAATCCATATCCCAATTACAAGTACTGAATAAAAGTTGGAAACAGTACAGCAGTTACATACTTCCCAATTGAGAGCATTTTCAAGGATCATGCTTCTGTGGAACCAGCAACCCAGCTAAAGGTACAGATAGTGGGACAAAATTACCCTGAAATACTTGTTGGTTTTCACTATTGTTTTGAGTTGCTTGGTGGATTGAATTATTGACATGTCCTGTTGTAACAATGAAGGATGGAATTGCATTCCTCAATCAGGAGTTGTTGAAGGTCAACCAGTGCGGTTGAGCTTCGTCACTCTCGCCCGTACAGACTGATAGTCAGACACTTGTGACTGGCAAACATCAGGCAGCACTTGAGCTCAAAATAAGAGTGAATACGATCAAGAGGATTTTGCAAGGGATTTTTGCACATTTTTATGGGGAGCTACACACAACAAATGTAGCTGTGATGTTCCATTTCACGAATGCAGAATCATTACACGTTGCAAAGGCGGCAAACCAGGCTCTCAAATGGCAGTGTATTAGAGGTGTATTAATCGACAACTAATCGGTTATTAAAAATATCCATCCATCCATTATCTGTTTTTTTACAATGTACACACAGGTCCAAATTCTTGATTTAATTTATACCTGTAGTGCCAAATCCATTCGTCCATCTATTATTTCAACCGCTTTATCCTCACAAGGATCGCGGGCGTGCTGGAGCCTATCCCAGCCAATTTTGAGAGTTTCCCGAAGTTGTTTTTTTTTTTTTTCATGAACAATAATTTGAACGGAGGTTTATAAACTTTTTACAGCCACTGACGCTATACGATAGGCCACTGTACACAGTTGTTAAATTCCACAACTAATAGCTGGGCAGGGATTACAGAGAAGCAACTGTTTATATCCAAGAGATACAAAAAAAGTAAAAAAATAAAAATTTCCATAAAATGTTCCCCTTTGAAGGGGAGGTCATTTGAATATCAAAAAACAATTACCGTATTTTCCGCACTTTAAGGTGCATTGAAAAGTCTCACGGCGCGCCTTAAAATCAGGTGGGCCTTGTGTATGATCATTACGGTAATATGTCGAGATGGCTCCTTCCTGGAGACATGCTTACAATGTTAGAACTTGCTTTTGGTTCAGTGAACTGTGTCGCTGCTTTATTCAATAAGTTTTTGTTGCAGCTCCGAAAAAAAGGAGAGCTGTGGTGTTGTTTTTTTAAAACACACTTTATGAATGTTTTTCACAGTCTCAACAAATACGATTGTCTGTCCGTCTCCGTCGTGCCTTCTCTTCTTCCTTCGACCCGAGAGGCGTTCATGACCGCCTGGGAAAAACGTAAATTAACGACTACTTCATTGAAACTACGAAAATGGAAAATAATGCATCAATACAGAAAATCAAGCGAGGAAATCACAAAATAAATTCTATAGCCCCCCTACAGAATTTATTTTGTGATTTCCTCGTTTGTGAATACAGTACACAACAAAGGAATGAATAACAAACATTTCTGAGACAGTCTAGTCTCCTACAATTTACTGACATCTGCTCCTTCTGTTGCATCTATGCTCAAGGAAATGCCAAAATAAATTCTGTCGGGCGGGGGGCTATAGAATTTATTTTGTGATTTTCTGTTTTGATGCATTACTGTATTTTCAATTTTCGTAGTTTCATTGAAGTAATTGTTAATTTACGTTTTTTGGAGGCGGTAATGAACGCCTCTCGAGTCAAATGAAGGGCTGTAATTCCATCTAGTGGATGCACTGTAGATTGTGCCTTATAGTCCAGTGCGTGCAATATATGAAAAAAAATTAAAAATAGCCCATTCATTGAAGGTGCGCCTAATAACCCAGTGCGCCTTTTACTGTGGATAATACGGAATTAGCAATTGTAAAATGGCAGATTTGAATGCATCCCGGCTCAATTACTGCAAAGCCCTTTACTTTGGAGTCGGCCAATCCTCCATTAAGCGCCTCCAGCTGGTCCAGAATGCCGCTGCTCACCTCCTGACTGGTACTC